TATTCTGGCTTCTTAGAGTGTCCGCTGTTATTTTTATCACTCTTATCGAGTTCTGTTTTTCTATATACCGGTCTTTCTTAAGCAGCGCTTTGCAGCTGCACTTATTCCGTTCGAAATCTAGGGAAGGATAAACGGAACCGTATTACCATTCTTTGTCTGTTATTCTTTGATACGTGAACACTGGGAGAGAACCATATGTTTGTTTACCTAAGCCACTTGTATACCATCACTTCATCTTTTTTTTAATGAGCAATAATCTTTTCCTCCCCATGGTTTACAACCTCATCCTGGATGGGAGGTGTTCGTGGCTATCGGGCTGCGATACACAGCCGGAGGATTCATCCCTCCGGCAGGATTTCCGAAACTGAGAAAGAGCCCGACGTATCCACCAGGAAGCTCAGCTAAGAGTAAACCAATACCAGTATCCACCACCGTCTCGGTATCAAACTGATCGCATGTGACAAATCTCTCTCTGATTCATAAGGGCGGCGACCGCCAGTGGTGGTGACGAGCTGGGGCAGACTTTCGCTAGGTTGACCTTGGGAGTCCAAGGAACCACAGTGGCTAAACCAGCAAAACTCCGAAAAAGTAGAAATTGTGCTGGGACTCGAACAACCAGTGATAACGGGCCAGCCACTGTCCACTTATCCAATAATCTTTCTTTTCAGTCTTCCTCTAAGTGTTACCTTGACAAGCATTTTTTATCCTTTTTGTAACTTTTTCATTTGAATGAACTTTTTCTAAATTAACTTTTAGGCGATTATTACTCTGGTATACGATGTTTTCTCCATACCTACTTGTCATTATCATAATTTTTTGAACTGGTAGCACCAATTTAGGGAGTGTGTAGCGCAGTGGTAGGAGGCGCTCTGGTCCCAGGTCCACAATACACATGGGATCGATCCCCGCTTCCCAGATCCATCAAGATCTCTATCTCTAAGGGATCGGCAGATCGGTACGAGGCTTTTCTATGAGGATAGCAGCACTGGTCCGATGCATCGGTTGGGCACCGCGAGTCACTATAAAGGGCAAATATTCATTCATTCACCTCCAACGATACTTAATGAAGTCGAATGCATGGCGCATCCTCTAGGGATTGATCAACGCCGAGAGCTTTACCCTTTACTTAACACCAGCACTTAACACCAACTTGTTGCTATGCTATGACCATTCAAGTCTTACTGACATTCGATTTCAATTCCCATTTTTGTCCACTTCAGTGGAAGACCTATTAGAGTTCGGCTCTTGAATATCATACACAGTGCTAGCTTTTTATTTGCTGCCTACTATAATTTTTCACTGCAAAGTATAATGCGAAATACAACCACAGTGATGCTGAGATATTTGCAAAACTCCGGGCCGCAGGTGTCTGCGGTGGGAACTAGAAATTATGGTAGGCAGCAAATAAAAAGTTAGCACTGTGGTTTCAACTACAGCCTCAGCTTAACTGGTTTCGTTGCTTATTTGGACTCCCCAGATCAATCTCGTTGATGGGTGATTGGTGATGGCACTGATCGATAGAAGTAGATGAGGGCCAGGCGAAACGAAGGACCCGCACGGTGTTGCGGTGAACGCGTTAGCACCTAGGAAGGGTAATAGCACGTTCGTTCCCCACCGCAGACACCAGCGGCCCGGAGTTTTGTAAATATCTCAGCATCATTGTAGTTGTACCATACTCAGTATTTGATCTTATTCACCGAAGTTGTAAAGTTTCATCTAATTAGTAACAGGTGTGACTTAATACGCTGCGTAGCATTCGCGTATCGCGAAAGAAGTAGCATAGTTATTTACTGATAAAAAGTCAAAAAGTAGTTAATAATTGTTTCGAAAGATAAATGTGGGACACTAAGACTAATCGAATAAACCATTGGAGTCATTAACAAACGCTTACGAACAAACCAGCACATTTGAGAAGGATGCGCATTGATTTCAATGCGTATGATTAAGAAATACTCAAATTCCGTTGCAGACCAACATATCTCTTATTGGACTTCATTAATTTCTCATCCTCAGTCCTCGTAACCTACCATGGTTATGTTCTCGTTTTCTGGAAGCAATAAAGCACATTCTTTTCCTGTTTTCTGCGTTAGGGTTCGTATTTTGAGCACGAGAGGAATTGAACAAGCAGGATCCTGCTCAGTAGGACATAATGGTGATCCTTAATGTATTGTTGACTTTTGCAGTGTCCGTGATCGTTTAGAATTTTCTCAAAATTTAAGCTTCGTTTTAAATTTTGGGGAATTTCAGTTCCAAACATTTAAAATCGAAGGACCGTTTTCTACGAATTCTATATACCCTTAAAAACAGGATAAAACTCTCAGCATTGACCAATCCTTGAGGGATGCCCCATGCATTCGACTTCTTTAGGAATCGTTGATAGTGATTGAATGCATATCTGGCCTTTACAATGACTCGCAGTGGCTTACCGATGTATCGAGCCAGTGCTGCTATCCTCCCAGAAAAGTATGGTAGTAATTTCTCGACCCCGGAGGGATGGAAGGCTTGGTGGGCCATGTGCGCGAGTTTCGATTCCACGTGTGTGCTGTAGGTCGCCTCCGACCACTGCGCCACACGCAGCCTCTATGTGCCCTTAAGCCGATAAAACATTGCCTCTTCAATAAGACTGGTGTTTTCACCCCTCCACCATTCTATTAATGGAGAGGTTGTCATCCGTTGTCTGCTGATAATCCAGTTTTGTCTCGAATGTGTTAAATATAGACAATTTTCCTTTAAGTAGTCGCCGATTGCATCGGTTACACGTCAGTTTCTTCCGAAGTTGATTACTTTCTTAGCATACTAGGTAAATGAGGACGGTACTGTAGTTGGTCAGTGTTTTTGTACTATTTGACACTTGATACTTGAATGGCCCGTCCTCACCGGTCGTGCGTGCCTAGCACAATCTCCATTTTTGGGAGATTTGCTGGTTAAGCCACTGTGCTTCCTTGGAGTTCTGAGGTCAGCCTGGCCAAAGTCTGCCACAGGGGTCTTCATCACCACACATAGTCGCAGTCCTTGTGGACCAGAGGGAGATTTGCCAGCTTGCGACCACTATGTTTTTGTATTGACTTCACTAATTCTTGAATCAGCTAATAATATTTCGAAATCGACTTTGCTTTCACCTCGGCATGACCGATCAATATGTATTCCTCTAATGACAAGCTAACATAAAATTGTTGCCAAATATCTATATCGTTCTGCTCTCGATGTCTTCATCTTCATCAGAGCGATGGTCCTAGCCGATGGTCTATAATCGTTCTCCTCTCGACATGCGGTCTCCATCGTCGTATTGAGTCGGATCTTCTTCAATGGAGCACCGTACGAATGAGGAATCAACTAATCAACTAATATGTCTCAGAATTTATATTGGTAAAGAACGGGTCTTCCTCAAATGAAGAAATGAGCTGAGGCATCGCAAAGTAACAAGTGATTGCAAGGTAATCATGGCTGCGGTTGATGGGATGATGGTTGTTTCCTAGTAACCACTTACAATTTTAAGGAAGAAAAGTGACAAAGTGTTGAGTAGGATTTCATCCTGAGCACTGGCTTATGGTAGGGATCAGCCAATTTACCACGCAATTAAATATCTTATTTATCACCGATGAATACGAATCGATACACAGATTATTTGACACCAAGACGGAGAGTGAGGATTCCTTTTCTCTTGTTTTTCACTTCTACCTATGAAAACAGGAGCACGTGTAACGTAATGGTAGGGGCGGGAGGGGGGTTTGCAATACAGATGGAATCAATCTCCGCTCCCAAGGCTCTCCAAGCGTTCCATTCTTCCGAGTCGGCAAATTGGTACCAGACTTGTTTGGGAGAACAGCGGCACTGGTTCAACACATCGATAGGTCACACCGCGAGCCATTGTGAAGGCCAGATATGAATTCAGTCACCTCCAACAATGCTTTATGAAGTCGAATGTATCGCGTATCTCCCAGGGAATGATCGACGCCGAGAGATTTATCCTTAATCCTTTTCACCTGTGATAACCACTATCCTTGCTTAACACATTCACACCCGTTCTTAATGTTAACAATCGCATGGGACTAAACCTTACTTTCTTTTACGCGACGAACGACATGCACAGTACACAACGTATACGGACCGTTTCATCTTCCACTTAATTGTCTTTTCTGCGATAATACGATGCATCCAGACCAATACATATATCCATGGATACGTTCTGTGTAAATCTTATTCTAATGTATTGTTCGCCCCTGATCTTCCACTCTTCTCGCTAAATCTTAATACTAGTAACCTGGGACACAGAATGGAGCTTTATGTACAGAACGATGGAATATGTGTCTGGTATATTCTCGACTACTTTGCGAACTCGTCGGATGCGAAAGAAATTTTTTAGTTTTCTTCGGAATTAGGGATCTATATGGGTCAATCATAAACACTTTTCCGAAACGAAACATCATCTGTCATCGTACAAGAAAGTAGAATCTTGATATCATTTTGTTCCCAGTTAAGATTTCCAATCATTTCATGAGTTATTTTTGCTGAGGGTGAACCGCAGTGGACGAATGGTAATGAAAAAGTGGAGTCTTCCTAGTTTTCATGATTATAGCAACTATTCCCAGAATCGTTTCTATTTCTTTCTATATCTATTTCTATCTTTTTATTACTGCATGTTTCTGTAGTATGGATCAAATCCACTGTTTCTCAAGTTGCCTAGCAAATGTCGTAGTATGTAAATATTTTAATCCCATCCTAAGGAATTTCGATAGCTATGAACAGTCTTGTTATGCAAACTTATTTTCTACTAGCGACTGCATTAACGATCAACAACTTTACCATGCTTCTTACTTTATATTACCATTTACATACTTTTAACAACTCATACATAGTGAAAGAAAATATAATTCTTAATAACAACGGCCTCACCGTCTCAACTTATAATAAGAAAAAGATTCAAAAACAAGTATTCAACAGACAAAAACTTCATAACAACCCTGATAACATCTATCACTTATGAGAAACAAACCGCAGCTCTATATGAAATTTGCTCGACATAATGGACAAGTGGATTGACTGCTTGACTCAAACCATTTGTACTAAAAGATCGTGCTTGGTTTAAAAATTTTAGCAGTTTAAGTTTTATCAAGACGATAGATAGACACAACAAACACGTGCAAACTAACCAGACAATTCGAGTGAAATTTGTTTTTGCAACTTCGACATTTCACCTGCAACAGTAAAAAAAACTTGTTTGGTTGAAATGGAAGGAAACCATTACAAAAGTTCAATAACCAATGGTTCCATTTGTTTTAGAAGAACCGAAAACGAACATAAATGTGGATAGATGGGTGCATTCGATGTTTGACATTTATTAAGACGACTGCAAATAATAATGCAACTAGAGATAGAAGCCAAGGTTGTTTTCTAAGCTAAGAGATTGACCGGAGCGCAGAGTAACTATAGATAAGTTGTCACACATAACATGCAGTCTCAATACTTATGTTGCTTAATGTCACTTACTTGGAAAGTTGGTTAGTCCGTGTTCACTAGTTGTGCGGACCCCAGCATAATTCGCACTTTTTGGAGTTTTACTGGTTTAGCCACTGTAATTCCCTGCAGTTCCGAGGTCAGCCTGGGCAAAGTCTGCCCCAGATCGTCATCACCACAGGCGGTCGCCGCCCTTGTGGATCAGAGGGAGATTCGTCACCATGCAACTAATTTGATAAGGATGGCGGTGTATTTTGGTATTGGTTTACTCTTAGCTGGGTTTCCTGATGAAAACGCCGGACATATGAACTTAGGAAGCCCTTCTGAGGATTGAATCTCCCTGCTGTACATGGCAGCCCGCCACAGAGCGACACCTCCCAACCACGATGAAGCCTTCCAGGGGCAATGAGGCGATGAACCGTTGGGAGGAACACTTATGTTAAGATTTGTGAATTAAATGAAGTATTCAAAGCACAACAGATAACCTACTTTAGGAAGCTGGTGATTGCTAGAATGAATTGTCATCATACAAATTGTACACGCCTCAGCACCTTCCACATCTCGATCGACATTCCTGCGCCACATCACTATTCCGTCTACTGTTGATCCATTCTGAATGGCGATTTAGCACTGGTTTTGTTAGGTGAGAAGCTTACATAACAGTAGTACTGCAAAGTACGGAATGTTGCAAGAATGGAAGAAATTTTGCATAGAATCCTAAGAAATAAAAAAATAATATAGGGCATCAAGTTGAGGGACTTATGGTCTTAAAGGACACGATAGCGAAAGTGAATTTCGGAGAAAGTCATGACAAAGAACCTCTTAGTTGTTATTCATCCTCAATTTGTACTAAACAGAAGCTCTGCATTCTTTCTTTTTTTCGTCAAATGGTTTAAAAGGTTAGTATTGATAAGCCATATTGTACCTCATGTTAGTAGATGTTGATTACAAAATCATTGCAGTAACAATAACCGTTATTATCACAATCTTAACCTTTTTATTTACTGCTTATTCTTTTTAGCGGCAGGGTATTTGCGAAATACAATTACTATAGTGCTGAGATATTTGCAAAACTCCGGACCGCAGGTGTCTGCATGGTGTGGTGGTGTCCATTCCAAAAGCAACAGCGTCCGTTCCCCACCGCAGACACCTACGGTCCGGAGCTTTGCAAATATCTCAGCATTATAGTAATAACTGTTATATTAATATAACAAAAGAACAAAAAGGGCAAAGCTCTTGGTGTAGATGAACGCCTGAGGGATTCGCCATGCATTCGACTTCATTACGCATCGTTGGAGGTGAATGAATGCATATCTGGCCTTTACAATGACTCGCGGTGGACTACGCATCTATCGAGCCAGTGTCCTCCCAGACAAGTCTGGTACCGATTTTCCGACTGCAGAGATGGGGCTCCGTGACCCTGGAGCACGGGATCGAACCCATGTGTATCGCAGGGCGTCTCCGACCGTTGCGCTAAAGACGCTCCTATATTATATAACAATATGCCGAGTAATATTCCTATTTCTGTTGCTTTGTCAGGAAATCATCGCTGTTATCTGGAATTCCATTTCAAAAAAAGCATGAACATAATGTCATTTTCAAAAGTACCTGATGGAATAAATAAGCGGTAAGCTGCAAAAGCCATTTCTTTGCCTTTTCAGACGGTACTATAGCCTTATCTAGTTGAATAGATGGTACAGAAAGTGGCCAATCCGATGGCATCACTATAGACAATCGCATTGTCGTCTCCTCTACTGTGTACTCGGCTACCACCTCTCCTGATACTGGCACCACACGAATCTTAAACAACCGTTAATATGGCACATCGCTGTACACCAACAACCTTTCCTGTCCAGATTGTACAATATTAAAATATAAACGGGATACCAGTAGCACGCTTTGCCTTTGGCAACTAAGTAGTCACTAATAAATAAAACTAGTAGAAATTGTCTTTTTCCAAAGTTGCTACAAGCTAACCTTCAGCAACTTGTCCTTTGGTTGGTTTTGATTCGCCACTTTCACTTTATTGAGTTCTGCATCCACGAGTAATTTGCTCACATAACTTCGAACGTATCTAGTAGAAATGCCTGCTAAGTCTTGTCGTATGAAGCAGTCAAATTTAAAAATCCTATCTAGGTTTAACCCATTAATGACCGTAAATAGGCTGAATATGGCGTGAAATTGTTCAACTCTTCAACTAAAGGCTTCCGTTGAAACTTCGAAATAAAAACAGGATTTTTGGAATGTCAAAAAAAACAAAGCTCAAAAGTTAAAATCTCGAGAAAGTATCTTTGCATACTATTATAAGGCTAATTAATATTTAGTAATTATTAAGAACCCACATGGTCGTCAATTTGTGAGTAAAAAGTGGCAGCTTACTTGTTCACTATTTGCGCTCCAGTATTTGGAAGTCCGACATACCAATTACGCACAATTGCTGGCAGGCTTCCAAGTGTACTAGAAATATTGTACATATGGATATTTTAAAGTCGCAAGGATAAAAGCTAAAGGGATAAAGCTCTCGGCGTCATCAATCCGTGAGGGACGAGCTACGTATTCGAGTTAATTAAGCATCGTTGGAGGTGACTGAATGCATATCTGGCCTTTACAATGACTCGCGGTGGCCAACCGATGTAACGAGCTAGCGCTGCTATCCTCCTTGACATGTGTGGTACCAATTTGCGGAACCCGGAAGTATGGAGTGCTTGGTGAGCCTGGCGCTCGGGGATCGATCAATGCCATGTACATTACAGGGCACCTCCGACCACTGCGCTACACGCGCCCTTTCGTCGCAAGAACCGATCCAACTTGATTCAACTTACCGATACAGTAAATTTGCAGCGTATCGTTCATAGATGTCTACATTGAATTCGATAGTTTGCGTTACGAAAAAGTCACGTTCTTTTGCTTTTGCTTAAATACCTCATATTAGCATAGAAAGTATCGATTATCGAAAAAAAAATGAGTAGAGCTTACGGATATCTTCAGGGCACCTTGCAAGAACTTGCTGTAGTACAGTGGAGACTGGATGTAGCAAAGCATCGCAGTAAGCTACTCGTTCTTCGTCCGAGATAATACAAGTCTAAACAACATTATACTCGATAATCTAATTCACTGTACTTAAACGTTCCAAGTATTTCTGAAAAAGTCGGGAAATAATCCTCTGGGACACTGAGCTAATCTTCTGGCTTCCAGTTAATCTAAAAAAAAAACTTTGGAGTAGTATTATATCTGTTGCAACATCTTTATAATTCCATGTGAAGTAGAGCTAACGCATATAAACCCGCAGACTGCAGACTACAGATACTGTTCATTTGGTAGGTATTTACATTCATACTCCCAATCGACTTGACCGGAATTAAACAATATCATGACGAAAGGAAAATCCTCAAGCAGCAGCTGGACAAAGAAGACCTTCGTTGATGATATATGTGAGGAAACGAACCGAATGCAAAACGCGTTGCGACCTGCACAGTAGGTGTAAAGACGGGTCGTACAGAAAAAAACCACCGAGAAAGCAATCAATATGGTATCTGAGGTAAATGGAAATGAAAGCTCTCGGCGTTGATTAATCCCTGAGAGACACAGCATGCATTTGAGCTCATTAAGCATAGCGGTGACTAAATGCGTATGTGGCCTTTACAATGACTTGCGGTGGCACACCGATGTCTCGATCCAGTGCTGTTAACATCCCAGACAAGTCTGGTACCAACTTGCCGTGGCCAGAGGAAGGACGGCTTGGTGAGCCTAGCACACTAAAATCGCTCCCATGTGTATTGCACGGCACCCCTCTGACCGCTACGCTACACGTGCCCTATTTAAAAGTTAGTTTCAAAAATTCAGAATGGAAGATAAAAATGACCGTCTTTCTGTGTGATAAAGAAAACCTTTCTACCACTGACAATTGAATAGGTTCATTTGGTAGATAGCTAAGTGTAAGTTAGAAGCTATTCAGCTTATTATCTACACAGGATTGAAAAGAAAAATATATCATGGTGGAAACCACATGGCCATTTTGGATTTAGGGATTGGAAAAAAAGCGCAGTTGATCGTAGTAGCAAAACATAGAGATCTATGGCCGAACTGTCTCCAACCTGCGTTTCTTACTATATACCTTGATGTTAATGAAAATAAGTAGTGCTTAAAAAACTAAACGCTTGCTGATTTCAATCCCACATAGAGAAAGACCGATATAGACTTAAGCTTTATGTAGAAATGTAGAACGGTTGCCTACATAACGTTTCATATGTGGTGAATGATATGAGCATCAGATGCTCAGCGTCGGTTTACCTGGTTCAGTAATGAAGAAGATATATCCTACGATCTAGAACAAACTGCACTTCATGAGAAACGAAACGAACTAAATAATAATCTTCTTCGACATCTTGGTGACAACTCTTCACTACACCAACAGAGATAATACCTACAACGCTCTTCGTAGCCCTCAGTGAAGTAGGACACCAATATCCATAGAAATTTTTTTTTTCAATTTTTTACAATATTTTCGATGTTCGATTGAGTACTTTCATGTTCGACAATAGCACAAAAGACTTTGCCAACAAATTTTTTTTTGTACAACCCGTCTTCACGTCTGCTGTGCGGATAACAGCAACTCTCATAGTCAATTAGTTTTCTCGCGTCCATCTTCCACGAAGGTTTTCCAACCTTTACGCATGGTTTATGTTGCTGCATGAAATCTTCACTTCTTCCTGAACGTCCTAGTCGATTCTTCCTGGAATCTTGAGGTAACCAGGCTTGCGCGTTTCCATTTGAATTGTAGAGTCACCCGAGACAAGCCCGGTACCAATTTCCAGATCGTGTAGGGATGAGGAGCTGGGTGAGTTTGGAGCAGGATCGAACCAGCACCGTGTCAACAAACCGTCAAGCAGAAAAGCAGTTTTTACCGACAGTGGAGCAAGAGCGCAATCGAAAGCCATTATTGCAGGCCATCCGGTAGCTCCAGTGATGAGTCGTGCTAGTGTTTCCGGTACTACCACATGGCGTGGCCCAGTAGAGCTTACCTGAAATGGTGTTTTTTAATGATCAGATAACGCCGAAAATTATCGAAGGCACAGATGTTCTTCAGAATTGGCATTTATAATGTCTGAAACCATAATCTGGCAACCTTATCTTCTTCCATCCACTGACCGTTTTCTTGTTTATACATTATAGGAGACAGTCTGAACCAAAAAATTAAACATTAAGACAATTTCTCTGGTTGAATTTTACTTAAAGTCAAGAAATTACGCCGCTATAACTTACATTCTTAACATATGTAGAGCTGCGAATCGAATAAAAATGCTCTCCGATAAAAGTAAGTCTTCTGAGTGGATTATCAGAGTTTGACGGATATCGTCGTATCTACAAGGAGCAGACTGTACAAGCTAAAGCTATTGCAAAATTCTATAAGATGATTACAAGCAAACAGACCCTAGCTTGTCCAGTTCAGGACAGAGTTGTTTCTTCAGCAACAAATCATTTGGTAAATCGTGAATATGATGTACAGCATCTACCAAGTTGCGTACGAAGAACGAAGGCTTACTATCTAAGTAGAAACAATATGCTTCACATACGTTGTCTTAAAGGTCTGACACCATCAGAGGAAGAAATCACATAACAAAATAACCAATAACAAGCAGGACCTACCTGGTTTTAGTAGTGAATACCATCGGACTACGATACGAGACAATGTCGGAAGGAAGAAATTTGGCCACTCCTGTAACAACAAGAAAAAACCAAGAAAGGTAACATACATTTGTGAAACAGACAGAAAGATGGAGATATAATTACCGTATCAAATGAGTTATTAAACTGGTAGGAAGCGATTTCAGCAAATTTGTTGGAGAGCATTAGAGCGGACCCAGCCAATGCCTCAAACGGAACAGAGTTCTCAGACTGCGTTTCCTTCCTCTCATCGCAACTCTGTTAAAAAGCGGTTAAATGCAAAATCCACAGAAAACATAAAAGAACCTATTTGCGTAAGAACTAACATCCATAGCTGTTACTAGTCCACATAAGATAAAGTCCAGTAAATTAGCCGGGATTGAGGATAGGGAAGTCTTATTTACAATATTGACAGCGGCTATGAGGCAAAGACAGCTCACACGCCAAGAAAGAGTGTCCAAAAAACTGCAACGGGTTTGACATCGTTCCAAGAAATCTTCTAAGAATTGTTACCTTTAACCTACTTCGCATTGAAAATCGATTCCTCCCACTCAGATGAATCGTCCTGGACATGTTGATAAATAAGTGACAGAAACTCGTATGGCGAATTGAAATGGAACCTAGTAATAAATTATAACGTAAGATTCGTTCTATAGAAGAAGCCGGAACAGCTGAGACTGTACTTGGACAGAATACTTAACAATTCTTAGGAATAGAAAAAAACGCCAAAACTACCTGGTAATCCATTGCTCGTTTGAAGACAGATTTAGATCTGTGCAATCACTTTTTAACGCCCAGTACCAAGAAACTTTCTTTTCCGGTTCTAGCCATAATGAAAAAGGGAGTGAAGGAAAAGTAGAATTGCGAAGATGATAAAGCGTCATTTGAGCAGATGAAGGAGATGCTGGTAAACGCAATAAAGCAGATATAGCTCGAGATGAAGCTAACGCCGTTTTCTGGAGATAGTACCTTTAGAATATTTTCCTTTTCCAATCTTTATTTTTCTAAACTATCTTAAGAAACCACGGCGAACTTTAAAACTTAATAATAAATAAAAACACAAATTTCGACTTATTGAAAGTAGTACCTCATTTGGCGCGGGTAACACAATGATAATTCCCAAGACCGACTTTCTGTTAACCTCGGCATTGATTGATAATTCGATGCTTTTTCTTCTTCAATAAGCAGACACGAGATTGTTATTAAAGAATTTACTAGGATACAATAGCTGACATTTCGGCGGTTTCGCCTTCTTTACAGTCTGGAAAGGTCAAATTGAGATGCGATCTACCCAGACAAACACTTTCATAACCCTAGCAGATAAAACCTAACAAATAAATTTGTATTCGCATAAAAAACAGCTTCATTTAAACACCTACCGTTTATTTGTTGTAAGTATTTAAGTTAGTTGGTGGATAGCAGCCGCCCAGAGTAATACATGGGTGATA